ATAGAAACAGGTTAATTTAAGGTGTATAAGCTAGGTAGAAATATGCCTGAGTCATTGGCCAAATGGTGTTGTAATTAATATAGTTTCTGTGTGACTACTCAGGTCTGAGCAGCCAGGAAATGAATGAGCAGTCTCCTTTTATTCTCTTCTTATATTGTATTTTATTATTATACCCTAGATGCCTATTTGTTTTCTAAGGAGAGACAGAATGTGGATGGATCTGGCTAGAAGACGAGGTAGTGAAGAATTAGGAGGAGTAGACAAAGGGGAAACTATAATTAGGAAAAAAATCTATTTTCAATAAAAGACAAAGTCATTCATCACATACTATGAATTTTATTTGTTTCTGGGAAGTTACCACCACAATTTTATTTCATTTTTTTAATGAATGTCTGTTTTCAAAATACCTTTTTGTGCATACAAATTATTATTCAATTAAGAAAGATAGCACTAAATGCTATTCATAAAATAAAAAAAAATTGGAGGGACCTTCTATCTGGAACACGGACAGGTTTACCATGTGGCAAATATTATATGAATTAATTGGTAATTTGGAAAAATGTAAATTATGTTATGATGGCCTGCATTTCACCACAGTGCATCCATGCCAGCATTGGTTAAACCAGTCAGCCAGTGATACTTCACAGGAATAAAGAGATGTTAGAATGGCAAGGAACCATAGAAGTTTTTATTTACTGTTGAAGTAAGAGTTAGTTAAATTTCATTAAAAATAAAGTTCCTCAGAACTACGATTTCATTTCCTGATGATCCCTTTGCATGACTCCTAGAATGGCACAGAGCCCAGATACACTTCTGGCTTCCTCTCTTGGAGGTATTTTCACTTCTCTTCGGTTTCCTATCTCAATGAACTCCAATTTCAGACAGGAACCATTAGACTCAACTCTCTGGAAAGCCCTATTATCAAGAACCCAAGTGTTTGTTATTTTAGGAAATAGGAAAAGATAATCTCATTTTCAAAACAATAAAATAGTCTCTCGAGGAAGTAAAGAGCAAAGCTTCAATAATGGTAGACATAACCTTTTCATTTGCACGTGTTTTGTTTTGTTTCTTGAGATGGGGTTTCTCTGTGTAACCATCTAGGCTGTCCTGAAACTTATTTTGTAGACCAGGCTGCCCAGGAACTCACAGAGATCCACCTGCCTCTGCCTCCCGAGTCTTGGGATTAAAGGCGTGCCTGGCTTTGAGGGTGATGCTTAAAAGTGTGTAAAATGAGACAATGTTTTTTCATCTCTCTGAGCCCTGATTCTCCATCTATGCAGTAGGTTGCTAAGTATTAACTACTATGTCAGTAGTCACAGGAACCAAAGAGTTGAATGACCCCTCAGAAACTGAAATATCTCATTGAAAAGCCCAATTAAACCCCCATTAAATAAGGGTGATTAAAGATTGTCTGTAGAGATGCTGTACCCATGGCTGAGGATCCAACCTAGTAGCGTGGCCATAGGGTTCATTAGAGGAACAGGACCTTGTGGCTAACTCCTGACATGTTGGTCCCATGACATTGAGTTTTCGCAAAAGCTTTTGTAATGTGAAAGGAGATTTATATCCTAAGTGATTTTCCACTTGATGGATGTCTAGAGTTCATTAATCTGTGTGACAGTTTCTATTCCCTTGATTCCTTTGATACCTTGGAGCTGCTCTATTCCAATCTGTTGCCCTAAAACTATGTTCATGGGGAGAGTAAACCGGAAGAGTACATACATGTCCTGAGAGCCACCATAAGTTGCTTAGGGCAGTAGAGAATGGCACGGTTCAGTGATCCTGTGTCCACAGAAATAGTGTTTTTATCCGGGACAGAAAAAGATGTTTAAAAAATTGGGTGGCTCAGCAGTTAAGAGTGCTTGTTGTCCTTGCGGAGAGTGATTGGAGTTAGAGTTCCAGGACACACATGGAGGCTCAGAACCCTCTGCCACTCAAGTTCCAGGGAAAACAATGCCCTATGTTGGCCTCTGAAGGTTGCTGCACACATACACACACACACACACACATACACACACACTGTACACAGAAATCCATACAGACCCCACACACAGGTATATAAAGTGATGTCCTGACTGGAAAAAGCATCCAGGGGATCTTTATTGTTGTTTGTTTTGGTTTTTATTTGTTCTGCTCTGTTTTGCTTTGCTTAATGTGTGATTCCTCTTGACAGACTAAGAGTTTCTATCTACACAGGGTTTGTTAGATCTTTACCATGTCTTCCCAGTGGTGGGATCTTCGATCTTTGAGCTCTCCTTTGCTTCTGTGACATTTTGCTTTTATTGTATCTGTGCTTCTACCCTTCAGCAGAAACAGGGGTGTAAAGAACTTGGCCGTCTTCATGACCACGCCCTGAATCAGCACAGTGAAAAATGAGTCCTGCCGGTGTAGCAACAATGGGGGTGATAGCAGGAGCTATAATGCTATTATTTATTTTTAAAACAAACAACTATCCTCCGATGAGAGGTTCACTCCATTTACTGGCATTACATCCATTATCAAATTTAACCTTGACGTATAATAAGACTATAGCTTGGGGACAAGGAGATATGTATGAATGTTCAGTGCTTTGCAAAGAGTAATGACAACTGGTTAGTGGTTGACATGGGACTCATAGTTGAATTGGATGATATGAATTCCATATAGTCAGCTTTCTCAGTCTTTTTAGTTATCTGTGTTAAGGATTTCTTCCTATCCAGAGATGCTAAGCACATGTAGGGAAGATAATGGACATTTCTAATTTTGCTTGGAGCACCGCATCTATGGTCATTATGAGACAGGAATATTAAGCTATTTTTCTCCTGTAGCCAAACATACACTGAGTGAGTCAGGTCATGGACCCTGGCCTTTGGAATTCCACATCTAATGTGGCCACAGTCTCATAGAACTGGCTAAGATTACCAGATGGGCCTTTGTGTGTCTTGGCTAGTCTGCATCCACTGCATGATTTTGTAAAGAGCAGAACACTGTATTTTCTCGGGAACTCTCTCATTTTCAGTCTAATTTGACAGTTAATGAAGTGGTCTGTGCTTCCCCAGATAAGAGTCAGGGTCAATCAGATGCTGTCTTTCTGGAATTTGAATTATGAGTCATAACTTGTGAAAATATTGAACAGAACTTAATATCCCTCCTGGAGACAGTACTAGGAACCTCAGAGATGTTCTAAATTCCATCCCAAATATGCTAAGAAGTCTTCATGCCTGCCCCAGCCCAGAGATAGTCTTTTGGTCTAGCGATTCTATATCCTCTATATTGATTGCTTTTCTCATCACTGTGAACAAACACGTCTCAGAAACAACTGTATTTGTTTCAATTGTGCCCTTTCTCCTGCTCTTCATGAAGACAGTGTTGTAGGGGATCTGCTGGGTACCTCTGTCATAAGCTGTCTATTGTGCAGTGCAGCGGATTGGGCCCTTTGCGCTAGTGTCTTCCTATTAAGCTTTCTTTCTGAGTCAGAGATAACTGTGTCCTTTCAACCTTAATGATAATGCTATATGAGCTGGACTCACTTCAATGCCTCTGTCTTCTTTTTAAGTAACAGCACCTAGACAGCATTACACACTGTTCACTTTCAATCTGAAATGGTGTGGAAGCTAAGAACCTACTGTTGGAGAAGGATCCGTGGATTTCTTATTTGTGGTCCTTATTCTGATACAGTGTGCATTGTTGGGACAATAAACCCATCAGAGCAGAAGGGAGAAGGTGGGTTGAAAGAACATGCTCATGAGGTTTTCAAATGCTTCAGAAAATGCAACTCAAAGCATTGACAACTAACAACCTAGAGATCAAAGAGACCCCATGATGTCTTAGCCAGTCTCACTTAAGAGGGTAGAAGAGAAGCCAGGTGGTAATAGCTTTAATCCCACTTCTTTAATCCCAACACTCGGGAAGCAGAGGCAGGCAGGTCTCTGTGAGTTTGAGGCCAGCCTGGTCTAGTTCCAGGATAGACTCCAAAGTTACAGAGAAACCCTGTCTCAAAAAATCAAAAAAAAAGAAAGAAAAGAAGAAAGAAAGAAAGAAAGGAAGGAAGGAAGGAAGGAAGGAAGGAAGGAAGGAAGGAAGGAAG